TTTCCACTGTCTTAAATGCTTAGATCAATGTGCTTCTGGGGCCCATAGACCTCTCAGGTCCCTATCTGGGCACTTCCCTTTACCAGCTTATGACCTCAGGAAAGTTACTTCTCTCGACCAATGTCCTCAACTGCACAAAAGGGTTAAAATAACCAGGAATGGCACAACACTCCATGGAGATGCATGCCTAGTGCCTAACACGAAGCAAGCAGTCCATAAATGATAACCATTATGACTATTATTAATTCTTTGGTTTCATCTTGTTTTCCAACCTGAGTCCCAGTACCAGATTCTAACACTTTCTTACCAACCTGGAGGGCCCACAACTGCAACCCCTTCTGTTTTGGCCGACAGACTCTGCCCGATGCCTTTTCTGTTTGTAAATTTTCCATCCTGGTCTGCCTGTTTGCTAGCCTCAAGAATGTTCATTACCCATATGCTTCCCAGCTGGCTCCCAGTTCACCCTTCTGAAGGTTAAACTTGTATTCAGGAGCATTCTTACTGGAGCATTACCTTTCCTTAAAAAAATGCAGTACATCCATGGTTAGGATATGACAGCACCCACCCACTCACAGTGCAGGGGAAAATCCGTCTAACTCATTAGTCTGTTTTTCACAATAAACTTTAATTTTTTTTTTTTTTTGCTGCAGAGACTTCTATAATTTAACCATCAATGTCATTACTGAACTCTATGACAATTCAACCCAGCCAAACTCACCCGTGGAGGCCACTTCTTCCAAGAGAAGGATTTTGATGTCTTTGGACCATTCCTCTTCTCTACTTCTTCCCCTTGCTGCCCCCCACCAGGCACATTAGTGCTTGTTTCTTGAGCCCCCATGCTCTGTCACTCAGGAGGCCAAGGACTGAAGAAAACAAATCCATAGACTGAAATTCGGAGTCCTTCTGACCTGTTCTGGGATTCTGCTCTTCTGAGCTGGGCCAACCTCCACCCACAGCCAAGGGAAAAACTAGGGGCTCTGGTCAAGACAGAAGCATTTGCACTTGGACTTGCTGTGAAACACATGTGCTTTTTGAGTAGCCCACCAGCCTGCTGTAACTTGAGAAGGGCATGTGTAAGGAGTTTGGGTCTCCTTAGATTTGGGGGTGGGGATCTTGAGGGAGAAGGTTCCAGTTGAATCAGACTTCAGTGACTGAGTTTGTGAACAGAGCATGCCCAAGGCCCTCAGGCCCGTGTTCAGAGGGAGGAGTGGCTGTTGGGAGCAGTTGGTTTCGCCCCTGTTTCACAGCTCCCTCGTGGAGGCAAAGCTGGCAGTGTGGTCGAGCAGAGCTGGAGCTGTGAGGCCTGGCTTAGCCAAGGGCCTGGTATTGGCTTTGCACACCCAGGGCCTCAGAGCTTGAAGACTGGGGGATGCGTCTTCCTGGTGAAGCCAGAGAAGTCTCCAGGTGACCATAAACTGGCTACACAGACTTTGTTCCTGAACACATGTTCAAAGGTGATAAAATAAATGCAGATGGTCTCTCCAAGCCTCAGTGGAGGGACTTTTACATTGACTAAATGAACTATAAAGCACACATAGACACACATGCACTCACACACACGGGAAAGGGAAAGGGAAAAAAATCTTAAAAAGTGCCAAACCCTAAAACATCAATACCAACCTGGAGAGAGAAGGGGTGGGGGGAGAACACACACAAGAACAAAGTTGTCTAATAAATTTGAAAAAGAAAACAACACACACACACACACACACACACACACACACACTTCAGAAAAGTACTAGGCGGAATTTCTACAAAATTTATTGGAAGAATTAGGACCGCCTTCTCTGGTGTGTAAACAGAGAAGGATTAAAGGCCTATTAGAAGACTGGGTCAGTAGTTTTGTTAGAGACCTGCAGAAGGGAAATGGGCAAATACTACCCTAAGGTCCACCTCTCGTGGAGTAGGAGATGGATTCAGGATGAATCTTCTACCACCCAGTTTAGAAATTCCCACCAGATTCTAGAATGAGGGTTCCTGCAATCCCCTCTCCCAACGCTCATCATCATCATCAGTAACACTTAAGGGGGTTTCTCATGTTCCAGGGAATGGATGATTTTTGCAAAACAATCCTACAAACAGACGCTCTCCCCATTTTATGGACAAGTAAACAATGGCACAGTAAGTAACCTGTTCAAGTTCACAGTCTCCAAATGTGGAGAATCTTAGAGACTTGAGACGAGGGGAGAAAAAAAGCCCCCATCAGTGGCCAGTGGGACTTTCCACAATGACATTAAGGAACTGAGAACCATCCAGTCCAGACACCATCCTCTCTGCAGTAGAATCTCATGATACTCCAGTTAGCATAAGGACTCATCCAAGGCCACACAGCTGTGGGCAACACAGCGGCTCAGAGTCCATTTTCTCTTATCTAGTCAAGTTCTTCACAGCTTCAACAAGAAACTAAACGATATGGTGAGCAAAGCGTGGAATTTTGGGAGATCCACACACCAGTCTTCCAAGGTGTGGGGATCTCCCAAATCCTGTCTCAGAGATGGGTTTATTTTTCAGTCAATCATAATGGCAATTGTATACAGTGGATGTATACAGTGGTTGAAACATCTTTCAACCTCTAGGAAGCCTCTTCCCTGGGCCCAGAAGCCTAGCGTGTTGGCTTTGGCAGCACCTGAACTCCCTCTTATGCCAATGCAGTTTCTGAAATGGAGCTGGAAAATGCTTCATTGCCTTGCCACCCAGAATGGAAGAGGCTGGGCCATCAGACAGCCTGCAGCTCAGAGAATGTTTTCAGAATCTCTCTCCAGGTCCACTGTCTTCTCCAACCTGCATTTTTGCCAGGAGTGTGTTGCTCCAAACGTGTTCTTGACAGGCTGACAAACTCCTTGCATTCAAGGCAGGGCCCAGGACTCAGCCCTGCTGTTGAGGGTCCTTGCCTTCCAAAGTTGGGGTCTCCGACTTCTATCACTCAAGCCAGTCAGCTGGACCCTCTAGGCAGGTTCTGGAATAGAAGTTCCAAAAGAGGAATCTATGGGCTCCTTAACTCATGACCCTGAGGACGGCCTTGTGACAGACAGCCTGGGCAGTTTACTGCAGCACTTTCACAGGTTGCTCCAGCATCCCAGAATCCACTGTCAACTGGATTGTACCACTCCTTGTACTGGAATCGTCTCTACCACAGTGCTAGTCTAACATCCAGACACCAGGTATATAGATGCCCCCAGCTGCAGCATCTCACAGCCTGCTGGAGGGTGCCACACCCTCACTGGAGGCCAAGGGGAAGGCTTACCAGGCACCACCCAGTGATGAGCTCCTGAGAGCGGGGCCTGCGTCATCAAGAGACTCCCAGAATCCTATCATCAGGCTTATCCTGACATTGATGTAGGCTCAGGGAAACAGCAGCTACAGACGCTGGCAGGCAGAGAACTGTGCTTTTCATTCTCTAGGATAGCAGTGTTCACGTTAAACTGTGATGCTGCCAGCTAGAAGCTGGAGGGAGAGGGATGAATGAAAGGGGAGGGAGGCTTGTTATCATCCAAACATGGATCTACCTCTTCACTCTGCCAATTTTCTGCTAAATAACCATGGTCAAGTTAAACCCACAAGCCTCCGTTTCTTCACCTGTAAACCGGAGATGACAAATGGCTCCCTCAAAGGATTTGCGGCAAATAATGGTGGCAGTGTTTGAAAGTGCCTGGCACATAGTGGGGACATGGCAGGCTCATTTCCTGCCTCCACGTTGGGCATTCAGAATCAAGCTCTTATCATGATGCTCTTAACCAAAGCTGCTCTCATTTGCTGAGTCTGTCTTGAAAGCTCATGTCACATAAAGGACACGTGCTCTACAGGGGTGAGTGTTAGAGGTCTCAGGAAGACAGAGCACACATAGGCTTTAAATGAAGGCAGGGTAACCCAGTTCAGGCACAGAGCAGGGGTTCGGGGCAGTAAGGATAGCTTCTGTGTTAGACTAGTGGACACCTTTACCTCTGGCAAATGGAGATGAGAGCCCATATGCTTCAGCCCTAAGAGTTCCAACTGCTTCTCAATGGGACAGGGCATCAGCAAACTCCTTGGGGGTCACTATGGGTGTCCCCTCCATCCTGAATAGACAGAACAGGGGATGCCATCACCACAGTGACCCCTTGCCTGTAAAGACCTCTGCTGGGACTCTGTGGGCACCAAGAAAGTCTCTTATGTTTGGACCTCTTATATCTCAAGGTGGAAAATCAACCAACAATAATACAAAGGTTGAACATAATATCTAAAAAGGAAGAAAGAGGAGGGAAGGAAAGGAACTCTCAAATGCCTACTCCATGCTGGAAAGTTCAGAGTTGGGTACTTAACTGGCCTGTCAGGTTTCCTGGGAGGTAGGCCAGAATCCCCATCAGATTCTGACCCCCAGGAAACCCAGGCTCCCAGGGTTGATCAGGTCAGAAGGGAGGAGCTGGAAATTGGACTGAAGTCTGACTCCAAAGCCAGAGCCCTTTCCAACCACTCACAGATCAGTGGGGAAGGCCATGGGCCAAGAGAGTCTATAATGAGAAAATTTATTTTCTGTGTATAGATTATTCATGAGCCATTTCAGTTTGCTTCTGGGTAGCCATGTAATTATCCTGTTACAGTTCGATCCCCAGCATCACACGCACACAAATTATTCTGTTACGAATATCTAGAAATTTTTTCCTATGTGCCTAAAAGGATGAAAACCACTTACCAAAAGCAAAACAAATCCAAAGCCAAAAAAGAAAAAAACATCCAACCCTTAAACAACCCCCAAACAACAAATGTGCTAAAAAGAAACTTACAAAACTAAAATTGCCAGGTTCGTTGTTATTGGCACAAATCATAATTCTAATTGGCAAGACCAAGAGTAGAAAAAACAACAACAAGTAAGTACTTGGTGGTGTGCTTGCTGGCCAGGAGGAAATGTTAAGCTCAAAGCTACAGGGTATAATTTCAATGGAGGCCATAACAGTTCTTTTAATTAATTAATCTAACATGGAATATACCAGAAGGCGGATATCACTGTGTTTATACACATCATCTGATTTTAACAAGTTTACTAAAGCGACAGTCATGGCCTTGACAATACTGAATGCAAAGTACTGGTGTACACAGATTTTACAGAAAGGCTCCTGAGAGCCAGATCACAAAACAAGATTAACAGATGGGAGAGGCCTGGGGGGAGGCAAGCACACTGACTTTATTGAGAAAAAAGCTTATATACTGTAGGGTTGCTGAAGTTTAATAAATAAAGGTCAACTTATAATATATAAAAACAATATAAACATTTATATGCTACATGCATATCATATAATTTAAAGTAATAATTTATATATGGGGAGAGATGCCAATTCATGTTCTTCCGATTTTTCTCGACAAGGCACACACACAGGAAGTGTCTATTCGTATCCAGCGCCAGCCTACGAGTTTGTTGTTTTCTGAAGTCAGTGCTCGGACGTAGGTTTGGGACGTTTTGCACTGAGAGTTCCAGTGTTTGTCATCGATCCCCCTGCAACCGTTTTTGACTGGCCTGGCTTCTTTACATCTCGTTTCATAAAAATATTGTTTGACGGGAGAGTTGCCGGTTTTGATCTCCCCCAGCACCGTGACCTGGTGTCCCCGAATGTCAATGGCCGACGACTTGTCGGTCACCCACAGACTCTCACTGTCACACACCGAGTACTCCCCTCGGTGACTCTTATGCTCTGCATACCGTTTCCGCCGTGACGTTCTGTTGGCCACCACGGGGTTGCCCACGTAATCCTCCATGAGATACAAGGGAGGAGGCTCCAAGGGGGTACTGTCGCTTAGCAGGACTCGGGGGGAACTGTAGCGTCTCTGTTGTCGCAGCAGTTCGGTGTCTGTCGCAATCATTGGCTGGAATTCTGACCTGGCAGGTTCTCCCTGCTCTGACTCTCGGGCTGCCTCTGCTTTCGGCAGGACGTTCTGGTAATTTTCTTTAACATCCACCATCTGCTTGGAGAGCTTGTTTTTCAAAATATCTGCCTGGATCAGCTTAATAATCAGGGAGTTGAGTGAGTCTTCCGGCAAATTCCTTTGATCCATGTTGTTACCTTGGATGCCACGGAGATAAGCGAGAAATATCACATAAAACAAGATGGACATCACCTTGTTCACCTGTAAGATCTGAAAAGGAAATAACGGGTGTTAACGGCAGGCTGCAGCAGTGGAGTCCAAGTCATTCTGGCACCAGCCACCTGAGGCTGAGAATTCCAGAGGGGGCGAAAGAGAGAGGGCACCACCATCCCAAGTAAGCCCTGGACATTCGGAAGGGGCTCTTTCCCCAACCCCTGGGAAACACTGGGGAATGCACACCAGATCTTCTGACTGATAGCTCTCCTAGACAGGCAGCACTGACTGCCTTTGCATTCGGTGTCTGCACTATCCTGCAGCCTTCTGCTGCACGTGGACGATGTCCTGCCACTTCTTTAAACATCCCTTGAGCCCGGAAAGTCAGCTCTACCTTGGCAGACTCTGAAGACTTTAAACCTGAGAAATATAAATGTGTAGTTACATTCCTTTACCAGCAGCAGACAATTTATCATTGTCTGAAAAAATATAATTCGATGACTCCCCAACCCCAGCCCCTGAGGTCTTCAAAGGAACACATGGAAGCCGGGGATTGGGTCAGTTGCCTCTATGAGATCAGAAATGGGCCCACCCCTGGCCAGGCCAAACCTGGTAAAGTCTGTTCTCTTGCCACAACCCACACCGCATGAGGGCCCTAGTCTCTGGGTGCTCTGTTAAGCTCTCAGATGGAACATGCATCATCAGGCCACCCAGCCAAACTGCTCAGCCCCCAGAGACTCTCTTCTCAAAACGGCAGCCGTGCAAAGGCACCGTCTGAAGAAGAAGGAAATGTAGAAAAAACTAGTTCCCTGTAACTGGTTAGTCTTGCCCTGAACAGCAGGTCAGCCTTGGTTCATTTCTCCTCCTTTGGATTGTTTCAAGTTTTCATTCCAAAGTGTTTGCTTTAGTGGTTCTATTTCTAATTCTACTATCTCCTTGTTTAAACGGCACTTGAATCTATCAGTGTTCTCTTTCTGTTGCCATAGTAGAGCCTCAACACAGGGCTCCTGTTGAGTCCTTGTGGAATTCTAGAGCTGATCTCCAGACACCTCCCTTGCTGGTCTCTCCCTCAGTGGAGCAACGCCCAGACTTTCCGAAGGTTTGCGGTAGAAGGAAACTCTCAGGTGGAGGGGGTACCTGAGCTAGTGTTCCTACCTGGTTCATACCTCCTATATCCACCTTGAGGTATTCATTCTTTAATAATCATTGCTGCCACTTCACTTCATTCTTTAATAATCATTGCTTTTAAACATGATGCCTAAACATGGAAAATAAAAACTCTTCTCTTGGTTCACCTTTGGTATTTTCAGAAAGACTTCACTAAGTCCAGGGGGAAAATACAGAGGAAATAAACAAAGATGACAGGAGAAAAAGAAAGGAGCCCTGCTTCACAATACCAGATCTGCTCCTAGGTCACAGACACGGCCTCCTTCCTGGTCTGTCTGAAATTCTGGCTTGCTCTCTTGTCCCCAAAGGCCAGCAATTTTGTAGACACTGTGTTGGAATTTCCTCCCCCTGGCTCCTGGCCTGCCTCAGTGATAAGGGATCCATCTTCCTTCTCTGGGAACCACTCGCTGGACAGCTGACTCCTTCAGGGTCAAAACTAAGAGAAGGATTCTAGCATAACTACCCACCCCTAGAGATTGCTCTAGGAATTGTATTATCCCAGGAAAATGGTTCCCACAGGATAATTAATACACTCGGTGGAGAAGTTTTATTTCCTGCGGTCTTGCAGGACCAACAAAATGAAACTTGAACAACAACAAAAAAAACCCAACAACATGGGATATATGCCACTAAAATCACCATCCCTCTCTCCCTGCCAAAAAAGAATACAGCTACAATAAAGTCATTTGGGACTGAGAGTCTATCAAAAAGTATATTTAATCTCTCTAAAGCCCAGCTACTGTAAGGTAAGAATACACTGGGTACCTAGTCATAGGGAAACAAATCAAGGAGATGGGCAGGGGTCAGATAAAAAGAACATCTAATCTAATGCCTTTATTTTTGTTTTAATCGGTTTTCTGTTACTATAACAAATACCTGAGATAAACAACGTATAGAAGAGAAAGGTTTATTTTGGCCCATGATTTTAGAGGCTTCCGTCTATGATTTGTTGACCCTATTGCTTTGGGTCTATGGTGGCATATCATGGTGTGGCAGCACGTGGCAGAGCAAAACCACTTGAGGCCAGGAGAGAAAAGAGAAGGACACCGGGGTTCCAAAATCCCCTTCAAAGCAAACACTCCCAATGACCTAAAGACTTCCTACTAGTATCTACCTCTTCAAGTTTCATTACCTCCCCAAAACACCAAACTGGGGATCAAGTCTTTAACACATGGCCTTTGGGAGACATTCCAGATCCAAGCTGTAGCAATTCTATAGATAAGGGAAACGCTAACTACAGTTTAAAGAAGAGGAGAGAGACAGAGAAGTGACAGGGTTCTTTGCATTCTGGACCTGACTTCTCTTTTTGTTAACTGTAGTAAGATTGGGCTCATATGTCCCATGCTCCAATCTCAATCACTATTTCTTGCTATTTGAATAAGCTTTACAACATACATGCATGTACTGTTCTCTTTATTTTACTCACTTTTATGACCTCTCGTTGAAATTGTACTCATTCTTCATAAGCTTACTTTTCTGTAAAGCTCACCCAAGATCTTCAATAGTATCAACTATGCCTCCTTTGCCTTTTCTCAGCCATTCTCCAAATGGCCATTGAAGCATCCCTCATAGCGTTATGTAGTGTGGGTATTACCCAATTAGTATTAATGTGGGCTCTATCCAATCCTGCATCCATCCTCTTTCTTACCATCAAATCAAAAACCTTGCCATGATTCTCTGGTAAAAGCAATGGGACTACACCATGTGCAGGCTGGTGAATGTTTCTAAATTATTTGCAAGGCTGCATCAAACCCTGCAGGCTTTTTGTGGGCTCCATTTTGATTATCTGCTATTAGTTTGTTTTGTTTTGTTTTCATAGAGAGCAAGCCCAAGAATGTTGGTGACAAGACTTCCCAAAACACAGAATCTAGACAACCTCCTCCTTTGTATAGATATGGAAACTGAGGTCTGCAGCAGTGGTGAAGTCAGATTGCTAATTAATGACAGAGTGAGAGGGGACACTAAGTTCTTGGGCTCAACAAAATCTGGTGGCTTGTGGGTGATCAGGTTACTGTGAGGGATTGATAAAGAACTTCCTATGAAAGCACTTAGGACAGTACCAGTACCTAGCGTGTACACTAGAAATGTTAACTTGAACATGAACCTGAGTTTGCTGTGGCAATAGGAGGGGCCCTTGCTGAATGCACACGTGCGGGACCAAGCATCTGGAGAATTTCTTTCTCTACATCTGGCTCGCAGCAATCTGAACCAGCATGGTCTCCACAAGGCTTTTCCTCAAATGCCATTGCTCATATGTGATAGGACCTCAGACTGGCCACGCTGGTTGTGGGAGAAGAAAAGTATCATGAACTGGAAGCACACAGACTGGGAAAAGTAAGGAACAAGTGTAGGGACATGTGAAGGGGTGCTTCAGAACCTGCTGGGAGAGAGAGGAGGCTGAGTTGGTCTCTTTTGGTCACTAAGACCTTCATTTCCCACCCCATCTCCTGGAGTGGGATTTTCCTGGGAGACTATTTCCCTGGAGTGGGGAATGGAAACAGGCAATAGTGGTTCAAGCCAGGTAAGGCACAGCAGTTTCTGCCTAAAGGGACTTCTCTAGTACTCACAGTCCTTTGTAGAAACCCCCATGTAAGCCATTATCCTACTGTATTAGTATTGCCAGCCTGTCTCCTCCTGGATGGCAAGGACCATTATGTTTTCACCCACAGATCCCTCATGCCCAGCACAGGGCTGCATACCCTGCAGAATTTCAATGTCTGCTTATTGAATGAGCGCCTGTGAGGATCGAGACCTGCCCAAGGCACTGCTCACGGGCCTGCATGGGCTTCTGCCAAGTCTGGGTTTGGAAGCCAATCAACTCTGCCTTCTTTTCCCAAAGAAAATATAGGCCCTGGCTCTGAAGCAGGCCATGGGTCCCCAGGCTCTTCTTGGCTATAATTAGAAAAAGACCTGTTAAAGACCTCAGTAAAACCCCCTTCCTATACTCTCCCTAGTGCCCATTTCCTCTGCTCAGAGTTTTCCAAGATCCCGACCAATATGCACATGCTGTTTTCCTCGCTTAGAAATGCTTTCCCACATATGGTGTTTTCTCAGTCCCCGGAGCAACATTCCTACAAGGTTTCACCATCCCTCAAAATACTCAAAAGAGAGCAATTTCTGATTCCTCCTTTCTGGCTCAGTTTACAATACACACAGAGGGTTTCTGGGTATCCACGAAGCAGCTGAAATGGAAAAGGAAGCCAGGGTAGAGAGTGGTACAAGATCTGAGGCCAAGGCAACCTGTGTCTGTCCTGACATGGGCTGAGATGGGGGTGCCTCCTTCGGGTTCCAATTCACCTGTCCAGGGCTAGCCTCCCTACACCACTCCTGACCATGGACCCATAGACCCCTTTTGCTGCCCAGGTAAGGAGTACATGTTTATCCTGATGAGATCAAGAATGAAAATGCTATGGGCCTGGTTAGAATGAGGACTGATGCACATGAAATCTTTAATCCTGATGGCAACCTCACTGAGGTAGGTATTTTTGCATATTCCATTTCATATGGGAAAACTGAGGCACAGGGAAGTTAAATAACTAGCTAGTAAGCCACAGAATCAGGATTTGTGTAGTCTGGTGCTAGAGTTCATGTTCTTAATGATTATACTATGCTATGCCTGTCTTTTCTGCTTTCATTCTAGAGAATTTATTTCCAGAGAAAGCTCAAGTTCCAAGCTGGGAGCCAGGAGCCAGGAACCAGGACAGCTGCCAGTCAGCAAGTTGAGAGCCACCCCAAGAAGCCTCAGTCCTAGGCAGAGTTTCTAGGGATTTGAGGCCACCACTTCTGATTTTCCTCCCCATAAAGCATTTGCTTATTAAAGTAAACAAAATTTGGTTGACCCCTGTCCCTCCTGGGCTTGATACTGTCCAAAGCAGTCCCTCTGGAAGTCA